TCCACTAATAGTTCAGATGCGCAGACACTTAATACACGAAAGCGCACCACTTTTACATATCGAAATCCATTTCAAACCATTATTTAAAAAATAATACAAGAGCAGCAATCCTCCACCATTCAAGTTCTCGCCAAAACTCGTGTGTGTATCATGTCTTAGTTCTGCAAAATATTACATTTTAGTATGTGGGTAATTAAATTGAATATGTTACCATTCCAAAATCATTGCAATTATAACTAATTATACCTATCAATAATAATAGTAGAAATAACAAAAACAATTTACTGGCACTTTCCGATATATGACAACGATGTGTTGAAATAACATCCCATGACCAATAAGAAATCTTAACGCCAATTACAATTATAAAAATAAATTTAAATCATATCTTTTAGATAAACAAAAACAAGGTATTCCCAAACACTTCGTTTGCCAGCTATAAGCCATGGCATTTTCTTTTTACTAACTCATCATGACTGTCTAAGCTTTTTAGGTACTGGCTTTAACGTGTGTGCAATCTTTCACACTTACACACCCTTTCAGTAATTTTACTAAATTGAACCCAAGATGTAATTCGTAGGGCTGAAAGGACACATAATCCATACATATTTACACTAATTATACCTACTATTGTACTTATTTCCGTCTCGTCATCTCGAGAGTAATAGTTGAAAATCAGTGTTTGCTCTCTGAGCAATATTAATGGCTGAGCTAGGAAGCTAGGACCCATTTATTAAACTGAAAGACACATGTACATTTAGATCTTAAAATTATGTAGCTTTTTTTATTCATAGGTATGCTTCAATATCAATATTCAATATCTATCAATATTCATCCTAAGGGATGACTCGTCAAAACTCGAAGACAAAGACTCAAAGACCAGCTCTTTCACTTCACTCATTTACTCGGGTGACAATTCTCTTTATATTTACGTGGTAGAGCCACGCTGCAGCTATATTAATAGTATAGTTGTAGCACGAATGGGTCGGCTCCACCGGGGAAGGACCACGCTCTCACAGAATACCAGAGTAAAATAGCAGCTTAATGCTGCTGTGTTTCGTATGGTGAGTGTAGAGAACCGGAGACCCCTTTTACTGGAAAAGAGGCATTCTATCTTAGTCCTCAAGGCTGACAACGCATCTGCATTTTAATTCACAAACGAGGATAGATGCAGATGTCTATGGGCCACAGCAACCACTTACCATCAGGCGGACTGTGTGCTCGTTTGTCACCCTAATTCTATAAAAAAAAATCTTCAGCTAATGATGCTGTGAGAAGTGTATCGTCTGCATATGTAATATTATTTATATTCCGTATTATTTTGACTTCTTCTAGGTCCTCGACTGCTGCTGCTATTATTGTTTCTGAGTTTAAGTTAAATAGCGTAGATGGCAAAATACAGCACTGCCGAACTCCACTTTTAATTTCAATATCCGCCAACGAACTACTGTTCGGGTTGATAATGTCTCTTCATTATCAACCCGAACAGTAGTTCGTTGATTCCAATACAGATTGTGGATTACACGTATATCCTTGCCATTTAAGCCAATATTTCGTAATATTGTAATACTCGTAAGGCGATCATGTACCATTCGATCAAAAGCTTTTTTTGTAATCGATGAAGCAAATAAAAACATTTTGATGCATATCTAAGCATTTTTGCACCAAAACCTTTTCTACAAATAGAGCACCTCTGCCAACTCCTGATCTAAAATTGAAATGGTTATCCGCGAGTTGTTCGTCACATTTGGCTCTTATATATTATATATTCTTCGTCTCTTATGAGTTCGTGAAATAGTTTCAATACATGACTCATAAGGCTAATTGTACGGAATTCTTCGCACTTTTCCGCGTTAGCTTTCTTAGGAAGTGCAATGAAAGATGATGTTAACCAGTCCTTGGGTAAGTGGCCTGGATCATAATATATAGCGTGAAAAAAATTAACGAGGGCATCAATATTTTCTTCCTCGATAAGTTTGAATATACTCCTGAGTAAACGTCATTTATGCCAGCTGATTTTCCAGTTTTAGCTAAATTTTCTACACATGTTAAATATAGAAACAATAGGCCCAATTCTGTACGCGCACACACAATTTATGTTCTTGTCCGTACTTTTTTGTTGTTCATCTTTGTTCTTTTATGTCTTGCATATATTTGTACAAAACCAATGTAATTTATGTTCATATAAAGAGTCATTGTATTCTGAAATGTCAGTTTGTCCTGTCAGCGGCCGAGCATACAAACTCGAAACTAATTTAAACACTACAAGGGCTGTCGCATCTCGCTGGAAGAGGATTAAGCCAGTTTTCAACTCAACGCGAGCTAGGAAAGCGTGTAAATTAGCCGGGGGCGTTCAAAGACTAAATATTAAGCCGGGAGAGATCAAAGGCTCATCGTGTAAAAACTGTTTGTGCAAGGCGTCGGGCCGTTTCGCCGGCGGCGCGGCGGTCGCTTGCGGGCGCATTAGACTAAACCAGACCACAGTTTGCCTTGTCATTTAATTATGCATTACGTTTACGTTACTGTGATTATGTATGTTTAAAGTTTTTGTTTAGTTATGAAATCAATTACATAATGACAACTTTTCTTACCGTTACATCCTATTAAAGCCCACTGCTGAACATAGACCTCCCTCATAGATAGCCTCAATCATTTGCCATAGTTGCCACACTTGACAAGCGGGTTTGAAACCACAGTTTTTATTTTTAGTCGTTATTACAAAGACACTGCTGCTGATTTGTTACCTACAACATTATTTGTATGGTCGTGTAAACTGTAAATTAATGTTACACACTAGTTTTGCTGATTCCCAGAACCAATCTAAGACCCCGCATACAGGGCATATACGCATGGTTTCTCCCCGTCACTTCATCATCATCAGAGCTTACAGATGGACATAGGCTTTTTTGCGTAGTAGAGCCATGCTATAGCTATATTACGGTCGTAGTACGAATAGGTCGACTCGACCAGGGAAGCACCACGTTCTCACAGAATGCCAGCGTAAAGTAGAAGTTCATATAATACTGCTGTGTTTCGTATGGTAAGTGTAGAGAACTGGAGACCCTTTTTACTGGAAATGAGGCATTCCATCTTATTACTCAGGGTTGACAAAGAATCTGCATTTTGATTCTTAATCGATCACAGCATACACTTACCACCAGGTGCACTGTGTGCTCGTTACTTACTAACGGTCATCAGTTTTACACATCCAGTTCCTTACCTTGCGCAAAATGTCACTATTTCTTGTCCTCCATTTATCGCAAGAGCTATTGATGATTAAAAGTCATTTCGAAGATGGCTTAAGCTTATCACCGTTCTTTCTTTCTCTTACAATTTTAGTCATGAATAAACCACACACATTATAACATCTGTGATTAACCATCCATCTAGCTGCATCTAGATGCAGCTGACTAAACCTAAGAGTACCCCCAGTGAAAATATTTAGTTTCTTTTTCTACGTCTTTTCTAGTTGTTTTCTATGTCTGGTAAATGGTGCATATGCCTGTACTCATAGTCATATATATTGTCAGCGGTAGTGTAGCAGCTACATTTTTTGTAATGTTTTATGTGTGCTAAGTGATGGACGACGCAAGAAGTGATGCAAGGTGGCTCATGGCTGTGTTTTGTGGCATTCCTTGGGGGAGTTCTACGATCAGCATTACCTTGTAAAGAGCTTTGATGATAATTATTTTGTGTGTGTGTGTGTGTGTGTGTGTGTGTGTGTGTGTTGCGAGTGTGTGTGTGAATAAATAAATAAATAAAACTATTTCCTTAACAATGGATAATTCTTTCAACCGTGAAAAATGTCTATATCAAAGAAGCAAATGGAATACTCGACGGTATACTGCGTCACGCTACCCACCCCAGGAATCAAAGAGGCGAACAACATAGAATCAAAGATACACCCCAAATCAAAAGAACTTTCCACAATATTACACTAACACTAACAACGCGTGAAATCTTATTGAGAGTTTCAAAGAGATCTAATCCTCGGTCTAGAGTTTGCAATCAAAAATGTACCCTGAAGCACAGGGGGTGGGGTGTGAATTCGAACGCCACGTATCCCCTACAACGCCTGGGGCATTGTTCGCCCCCACAAATGCGGCCAATATTATCTGCAGCGATTTCAACACCCGAGGCGCTCTGATGAGGTAGCCCCGTTAATTACGAAGGAACCTGACGTCATTAGTTCATACAATGTGAGAACCGAATAAAATATTACTCATAAAACCTATCAGTCTTCTTTCTTTTTAACCGACTTCAAAAAAGAGCACGTTCGCAATTTGAGTGTATGTTTTTTTGTATGTACTCGTAATGTTACGTTACGTGATATCTTCGCAGATTGCGAACTAATTTTGATGATTCTTTTTTTTATTAAATAGGTTATACTTCAAGAGTGGACTCATATAATTGTGAAAAAAAATCCACCCGCAAGGGTAGCAAATAAATAACTTCTTTTTTATAGTTATAATTATCTATAAAAAGTTTATAATACTATAACTGTTTTATAAAACGAAAAAAAAAAGATTTGCCGCCAAGTGGAACGAAGATTGCAACACCAGACGTCTCGCACCTTAAATTCTGCTACTCGGCGCGGCCATATTTTACGTCTGCAGTTTATCCCACTCCCCAAACTGCACTCACTCTCTTACCTATATCTGCTACCAAATAGTAGTGCTTGCACTGCTGTGTCGCTATTTAAAGGGTATAGAGGTCCAGTATAATTACAGTCTAAAAAGATGACAACGCACCTGTCACCTCCTGTGTTGGAAGTATGCTGCAGGTGTTCACGACTGCAGCAGCCATTACTACCACTTACCATCAGGGGACTGTGTCTTCGTTATCACATCAAATTATAGAAAAAAAAACGGTTTCACAGCGTCATCTACTGCAAACCAAGGAGGTATCTTACAACATCCTTGGTACTAACTACTAACACCGCCACCAGCGACATAAATTTGTTACCACTAAAACCTAAATCAATAATTTAATTGTTACAGGCTATGGCTCCAACTCCTTATCCGCGATGTCGAAATCGACATTGGACGCGCACACACATCTTCGTCAACCGGGTGAGTGACACAATAGTATAAGTCACACACACACACACACACACACAAAATTTTATGACATATTTCGAGTTATATTTGCCGCCGATGGTCTTCACTTTGTTTGTAGAATTTAGGAACGAATCAGCAGTGCGGGTTAACCTTAATCTCATTGGAACGACTCCTTGAGAGACCCTGCATATATAAGGTAGATGTGGTCTTGTGAAATAACAGATCTTGTGACCTTGTAAATTTTCTGGCACATGATTTTAACAAGTTCTTACCGGCGTCTTATAATTCTATAAAAAAGGATTCTGCCGCATCGTAACTTCACGTCACGACAAATAAAAGGGTGCAAAGAAAGCAAACAAGTAAAATAACATTAGAACAGTTTAAATATGCGAACTAAACGTAGACGTTGTTTAACGAACTATAAAATCTTCCGAGACTGTTTGCGAAACCCGGGTCGAGACCCAACGTATGTTTGTTGACCACGGTCAGTTACCCAGGGCACATAAAGCCTGTGTATCCTCCCCCGTCCCCATTATAACCGGACTTATTCCTAGCGACTGTACGGACGGGCTCCATGCGAAAAAGAAAATTTATGACTATGAAGGTCAAAATAAATAATACGTAGATTAAATTTTGTTTGCTTTAAAATACCTAATAGACCAAGCTTTGCTAGGCATTAGCTATACAGTATCATTCTTAGACACACCCGTCTAGATAAACTTAAAAAGTAAAATATCTTAATTAAATATTTCAACTAAATTATTAGAGCCGTTTCGGAGAAGCTCAAATTGCTCGAAGTCCCAAAACCCAAAATATGTCCCAATATACAGGTACTATTATATATATGTATATTCAATGACATTTTGCACACTCTGTTGTAGTTTGGTCCAACTTGAGAGATAGGATAGTTTTATTCTGATAAGTGACGCTCAATATTTTTTTATTACGAATTTAAGGATTTTTTATCTGAAGGTTCGTCGAAAAGTGCAAAACAACATCTGCCTGGCCAGCTAGTCTTTATATATATATATATAAATTACGTGTCACGTTGTTTATCCGCGACGAACTCCTACTGAACTCATTTCAATGAAATTTAGCACACTGTGTGCAGTTTGGTCCAACTTGAGAGATAGGATAGTTTTTATCCCGATAAGTGATTCTCAATTTTTTTTATTGCTAATCTCAGGAGTTTTTTTGGAAAGCAAATGGTCGTTGGAAAGGGTATGATAGAGTATTTCTCGAAATGCTAAGGGCTGGAGAAGGATTGGTGGCAGACCTGCTGTACACCTTGTTTAATTTATGTTGGGAGCTTAAGCGGGTGCCGGGAGACTGGTGCAAAGCCGTGATAGTCCCAATATATAAGGGAAAAGGATCACAGCAGGACTGTAAAAACTACCGTGGTATCAGCCTTCTTAGCATTGTGGGAAAACTGTATGCTAAGGTACTAATTGAAAGAGTTATGAAAGAAACTGACGGAAAAATTTGGGATGTGCAAGCGGGATTTAGAAAGGGAATGGGATGTACGGATCAGGTCTTTTCCATGCGCATGATCGCCGAGAAATTTTTGGCCAAAAACCAAAAAGTTTTTTGTGCGTTCATGGACTTGGAGAAGGCTTATGACAGAGTGGACAGGGATGTGTTATGGCAAACACTGAACTCATTTGGGTTGAGCGCTGGTCTGATACAGGCATAGAAGTCTCTATATAGGGACTCTAGTGCTTGTGTCAGGATCAACGGGGCCTACTCGGACTGGTTTGACATCCATAAAGGTGTCGGACAGGGCTGTGTGGCTTCCCCGTGGTTGTTCAACCTATTTATGGAGAGTTGTTTGGAAAATTTGAAAGTAGAAGAATGCGGGTTAAGAATGGGTGAGTTAACCGTCAAATGCCTTTTGTACGCCGATGATCAAGCCATACTTGCATCGTCGGCAGCCGAGTTGCAAATGATGGTTACATTAATGAACAGGACATCAAAAGAAAAGGGAATGAAAGTGAACGCAAGTAAGACGAAAGTTATGGTTTTTGAAAGAGAAGAAAGTAAAACGATATGTGAAATAAGAATAGAAGGGGAGTTGGTAGAGCAAGTATCTGAGTTTGTATATTTGGGATGTGTGTTTAGCAGGGATGGTAGATATGATAAGGATATAGAACGACGAGTGAATGCAGGAAATAGAGTGAATGGGGCTCTACACTCTATTGTGAAAAGTCAGAATGTGTCCAAAAAGGCACGTATGGCAATTCACAATGCTGTGTTAGTCCCTACTTTAATGTATGGTAGTGAAAGTTGGGTGTGGCAGAAGAAGCATGAGAGTAGAATAAATGCTGTAGAAATGCGGTCATTAAGGAGTATGTTAGGGATGAAGCTGAATGACAGAGTGAGAAATTGTTTAATAAGAGAAGAGTGTGGTTTGCAAGATGATGTTGTGACCAGGATTAAGAAAGGAATGCTTCGGTGGTTTGGCCATGTAGAAAGAATGAATGAGGAAAGAGTGACAAAGCAAATTTATGTTGCAGAGGTGAACGGCATAGTCGGGAAGGGTCGCCCTAGGCGAAAGTTTATCGACCAAATTGGCGATATATTAAAAATGGGCCAAATCAAGAGTACCTTTAACCGACGAGCGTGTATGCGTAGGTATATGAGGATGTGGAGGAAGTGAGAGAGTTGTGCCAGGATCGTGCCAAATGGAAGTCCATAATCTCTGCCTACCCCTCTGGGTGACAGGCGTGAGTGTTTATGTTTTTTATGTTTATATATATATATAGATAGTAAAAGTAGCAAATCCTTGAAAGAGATCTTAGCATATACAGTGATCTAAATAATTTCATTCAATTGGATAAAGGGTTTTGCATGATAAATGCATATGTATGTGTATCTTTATTTTATTGGTAACGCACACACACACACTCACACACACACATACACACACACACACACACACACACACACACACACACACAGCGCGAGAGCACGCACCCGCGCACGCACACACACACACACACAGCGCGAGAGCACGCTCCCGCGCACGCACACACACACACACACACACAGAAACATATACATGCATGTTCCAATATACAATATGCCCACTGTTAGGTGTGACGTTGATTCAGTATACTATTTTAATGGTAACGCACACACACGCGCGCGCATACACACACCCACACACACGCACACTCACACACACCCACCCACACACACACACACACACACACACACACACACACACACACACACACATACACTCACAAACACATACATACATGTTCCACACATATACACATATACACTATGACCACTGTTAGATATGACGTCAATTCAGTATACTGTGAAGCTGCTATACTGGTTACTGTTTAAAACGGAACGCAGTCCAGTATACTCTCATCCCCATTTTCGACACTGTTTTCAAATTAAAATATTTATCATATACACGTTTCTATTCAACAAGAAAAAAATATTATTTGAATGTTGTTGCTTTTAAAACTTAATGTTGAGTTTATTTCAATGACGTGGTTTTAAGCGTAGTAGAGCCATGCTGCAGCTATATTAGTGGTATAGTTGTAGCACGAATGGGTCGGCTTGACCGGGGAAGGACCACGCTCTCACAGAATACCAGGGTCAAATAGCAGCTTAACACTGCTGTGTTTCGTATGGTGAGTGTAGAGAACCGAAGACCCTTTTTACTGGAAAAGAAGCATTCCATCTTAGTCCTCACGGGTGACAACGCATCTGCAGATTCGCAATCGAGGATAAATGCAGATGTTTATGGGCCACAGCAACCACTTACCATTAGGTGGACTGTGTGCTCGTTTGTCACCCTATCCTATAAAAAAAACAATATTAATTAATAATAACAACAATCGTTCGTGGAAGTTGTTAAATCTCTAGGCGCTGTTATGTTTTTTGATCACGTGATCAAAGTATTGAGAGCACCTTACCTCAATAGTGCCAGTGCTCACAGTACAAAAATGGCGGCGATTTATGACGTCGTATATTTCCCTGGGATACTGCGGCAGTATACTGGCAGTCCATAACGGAACTAATTTTTCACCAGTGAGAGCACTGAGTAGTGCTCGCAGTGTATATCGGAATACGACAAAAACTTTCACTCCTATAATTTTACAATAAATATTAAAAAACGGTACTTCCATTTTCGTATGATGCTAAGAACCTTTTCATAAACTAGAATATATCTGATATAGATTTTACCACGCAAAGAAACTCCAAGCATAGAGCTCTGCATATCCCCCTGAGCCACATTGAGCTTCCTCAAACAGCTAAAAATGAAAAACACGTCTCCATAGGTTGCATTTATACCACACATAGATAAATCTATGAATGTAAATATATTAAAAAAACTTGTGCAAAAACCCCTTCCTTATTTATTCCACTTTCTCGCTCGTTTTTATTCCAAGATTATTTCTCAATTGTATCTTATCGTGTTTTCCCTAACGTCTAATGAAGAGATTTTCATTAAGAAGCCGCCCCTAATAGTCGTTAGGTTAACTTCACCCCACTTACCCAACAACGTGACCAATTTCAGAAATGCTCCTAGAATAGTGCGAGATAAATTAATTGAGATGTTGGGATTACTATTAGACGACTTGAATGTGTTAAAGCATTTCTATTATCGTTATTTTTCTATTTTACTTTGCTAAATAACTATCGAAGTATGTAAGTGAGCCTGTTCAGGGGTTAGCTTTCGCTATAAATTTCGAGCAACTCTATTTCGATCTCGGATTTCTCCCGGACCTATGGAATAGTTACCACGTGCTCGTGGCGGTGAAAGAGAAGATCAGGAGGAAACGTAAATTCCTGTGGAACAATATTTCGATCGGGGTAACGTAAACAATGAGGTAAAAAAAGAAAAGATGGTCACTCAGAACCTCCGATTACACACAGTTATCCACTGAGTAACCACGTTCACGCTAATGATTGTTATTGCAATTTTATGTTCTGATTCAAACGTGTTCATCGTTGAAAGACAACTTTGGGGAAACTTGCTTATAAGGTCT